GACGAAGATTTCTAAGCATAGAAAAGGCGTCTGTATCGCTAGTTAACGATTACGAGGCAGTTAGAGGTGTATCCTCCCTCAGGAGTCAGCGGGTGTAAAGACGGAGGCTGGTCGTTCGATTTCTTCGGAGTTGGTTGCACGCATTTTTCGCGGATGTGTGTAGCGCAATAAAATCAACGCTATTTGTTCGACGTAGCCGGGTTTTACGAGTGGACGGGTCGGCATTGAGCGGACGGTGAAGGCGAAATGGTCCGTATAAAAGAAGGCAGGAAGGCCGTGAACCGGCAAGTGGCGTCCGGTAAAGTGGACCGCGTGAAAGACGCCTTATTGTCGCGCTCGCTCTTTTCGCCCTCCGCTCTTCAATGACCGTTTCCTATCGCGATCGGCGTCACGACAAAGTCCTGCTTTCACTCGGTCCTCTCAAAGGAGCAACGCGTCGCGTCGCGCTTTCAGTCACTACCGCGGATTGAAATATGAATAGTTACGGGGTTGATGTACTCTGCAAGGGGATTTTCTGGACAGCAATGAACTTTCTAACGTGTTCAACGTAGAAGAATTACACGAAATTCTATTCTTACATATTTTAGACAAAGGTAGATAGAAAATTCGACAGAAATCTGTGGCGGAAAATAGAACGAAAAGGGGAAAAAATCGCAACAGCAAGGGGGTCGTTAGGAAATTCGCGTGCGGCGAAAACAAAAGAGATTAACAAGTTCTCCCTCTGCAACGCTGTTCTTTTTGTTTCAGCCAGTAATTACAAGAGAGCGACTCGTTACTTTTGCATCAGCATTACAAAAGGAGACGCGTTTCGTTAGTTTCCCTTCGGCGATAAATTCACCGACCGGCCTTGTTTCGAGGCTGTGTTCGCGACAATTAAACGCATCTCTGTCCGAAACAAAGGGGGAAAAATGGCGAGGAAAGGGGGCGAGAAGAAAAAAGTATCGGAAGCGGCTAATTAACTTGTTAATTCCGTTTTGTCGGGTGGACCCAGGTTTGTTGAATCGGTTAAATGCAAAGGGCGGCACGTGACTAATTGTATGAGAAGACGCGGATGAAACCAGGCGGTTCCGTGCGGCAGGTGATAAATAGCGAAAACACGATAAAGGGGCAACGAAAACAACGGAAGGCGCGGAGATGTGGAAGTGGAAACTTTGCAATTAAAATTCAGTAACTCGCTTAGCGAAGTACATCTCTCGATTGTAGTTGCGTGCCGTTTAATACGATAAAGCCGAGCCGCCGCGCCGGTTTACACGGAGTACAAATCACCATGCAATCAGAGCTTTCAATTGCTTGCTGGATGGAACGTTTTCAAACTCTCTCTGCTACGCGGCTCAATCCAAATTAATATCGTGTACTACGTGCGTCTTTGTTTCTTTCGTTAACAATCACGGACACCGCGTGATTCGTTAAAGAACGTGCTGCTGTCTTCATTTTCTTCCTTAGTTGTTTTTCCATCTCGTCTTTGTTATTTTCCGAAGCAAAGGAAGAGATGGTTTCTATTATCGGCGACAACAATACGCGGTACGCGATGTTTTCTTATCTTTCGGTAGACAAACACGGCTTCCATTGCGTCGAAAACAATGCCTGGGTTACTCTGCAACGTTACCATGTGGATTTTTCTGGTATCTTTCGTTTTCCTCTAAAGATGGAACTTTGGAGGAAAATTTTGTTTTACATGGAGATTCTTTTGGTGGGAGGAAGAACACTTGTACACAGAAGAAGGTTGTCACGGTTATTTATGTTCGCGAAGGATAATAGGGATAAGGTAGGATGAAATATTGTATGTATGTTTTAAAAGCACTCCTCCCGGTGAAATAAGGTAATAATGTTTTTCAAATAAATTAATTAATACGGCCGAGAAGGAGGAGGAGGAGACTGTTGTTCCGTTGGACAAAGATAAATTGTTCCTTTAATTGGATACCCGCGGTAACAATGCAGAGATGCAAGGAAGTGTGTAAGCTATGAAATATTTAGCACGAGCTCTACGACTAATTAATGGAACAGGATTACAGTGTAATTAACTTGAGAACAATTGTTTCGATTTAATGCACCGATCGTCACGTTTTCTTTTCATACGATGACGACAGAATTATATCACCACGTTTATGCAACGTCGGTTATTGTTTCTCCCCTTTTTGCCTGATGAAGTGAAGAAAGAGACAAAAGGTGAAGTATTTCGAAAAACAAGTAACGCGAACGTTTTATCGTTAGAACTTTACACCGAGCAAAAGCCTGTAGCCATGGAATGCTATAAATGTTCGCGGTTGGTTTCTGCTACGAATCAAATTATACCTCGCCATCGAGCTTCTCATCCAAAAGCATGGCAAAGCAAACAAAGCCCAGCCGAGTGAATGGGTCAGACAGAGAGAGAGAGAGAGAAAGGAAACGAGAGAGTGAATCACGCGACGCAAAACATTTTCAGAAGCGAGGTCTCCGCTCGTTAGCGGCGCAAATTTTATTTGCATCCAATTAAAATACAACTTCGCTAAATACTTCCAATACTTCTGCAATCGCGACCCCGCTCGATAAACTTGCAAATGTTTTGTGGCCGTGCAATTAAACTTCTCGCTCGCGCATGTCTATAAAAAAACGAGGAAAAAAGAACTTTAATAAAAAAATTCCTCCGAAAGCCAGTAACCTTAAAGGGTTACATGTACCTATAGCGGTGAAAGAATTGATTTTACGACCTATCCGTAAATAAGTTTGCAATTCACGAAATGCATCCTGAACATTTCCCTATCGATTAAAGAATCGGGTTATTCAGAAAATCGTATCTCTGTCGATTATTAATACTTTTTAATTAAAAAATTTCTCTCGTTTAGTTAATGAATCCTGCCTTTCGGTAGAAATATAATTAACATAATTTCCATTTATATAATATTTCATTCAGGAAAAAAAAAATCGGGAATTCATATCACGTCTGTCTAGGTTGACGTAAGCCTTTAAATCTTCACAGGTGTTCAAAATTGAAATGAAATGATTAAATCGAGCCTTTTCCATCGTTTTCCAGGCACGCAGCGCGGCAAACAATCGGGAAAGTTGACCGCAGAATCGCGAACAAGCGCAGCGTTGATCATCGCTGGCTCCTTTGAACGATGGACGCCGCTTTAATAACCAGTCAGCCACGCGAAGTATTTCATTAGAGGCCGGAAATCCCCTCCATGGGAGAGACGAAGAAGGATGGCCGTGGTCGCGTCACGTGATGCGAATCCACGAGTTTAGGGAAACCGGAGACTCGTCTTTGATGCCGTTCCATCGTGTCTGGACCGATGACAGAGCATCTCCATCATTCTGTCGCGAAAGGAAGCACGATTTCGCACAATTCCGCTGCGAAGGCCCGGGGCTACGGAAACTTTAATAAGTGTCCGCGTGCTGCAACAAGTTCTCGCACATATTCCCGCGTTATTGCGCCAGGAGCTGGGATTTTCCGTTTTATTCGGTCGTTTAGCTGAATACAAATGTTCTTCTAAAGTATTCCAGAGTCGAAACGAAGCTTCGTTGAAGCGGTTGCTAGGGATGCATCAGTCAAGAAGTGGCCGGTGTCCTGTGGCTTTGACTATTGAACGCTCGAAAGGCATGGAAAGAGGAAGGAGACGTTGTCAAACGGTGATAGTGGTTATTTCTCAACGACTCTGATGTATTCGAAGTGTCTAAGGTTTGGAATGCTAGTTGGTGGAACCGAGGAATGACAATAATATGTAGATTTTTACAATTACAATGGAGATAATTTTAAGTGACAATTATAAGGAAGTGGAATAACTAGAGAGGACTCTGTAAGAAACCGTCCAGCGAATTTCATCACGAACGACACAAAAACGTGGAGAGCTGTTCAAATGCACGACAGTCGCCGATTCTTCACCGACGTGACAGTGATTTTTAACAGAATTTCCTGACGCGTCGCTCGTGATGCCCGAGAGATCAGTTTGCGAATCCATTGCGAGGGAGCGCCTCTCCGAAGCTGTCTCGTGCATCCTGTTCTTCTTGCTTCATCCTACCTCGAAGTGGAATTTATTTCCAATCCGAGAGCATCCGCAGAAACGGGACCGGGGTGCCAGCTACGTATCCCCGAAAATGCAAGGTCCGTAGAGAACTGCCGGGAGAACTCGATTCGACGGAATAAAACGCAGCTAGAGATCAGCGGCGAAGAGCAAACCTCTTTTCTAACGAAAACAGATCTGTGAAATTGCTCCTCTGCTTCTACGTAGCTCTGTATAGGACGTTGACATTCCGAGGACTGAGCTACTTCAGCAAGCTACCGCGAAAAGTAGACTAAAGTACAAAGACAGACTGGTGTACCAACCTGTAAATCCTCTGTCCGTGATTTCTAGTATACCAATAATGACCTAAGTCTTCTCTTAACTCTCTAATAAAAAAAACTGCAAGAGGTGGAAAGATCAATGAACACTTGACACCTTTCTGACCACAATTTCAAGAAGAACGATGACCTAAGGCTTCCTCGGTGCATTCAGAAGACCCTCGACGAAAGGAGCAGCACGCATCTCGAATTCAGCTGCGTGGAGTTCGGTGAGGAGGGGGTGGGGTGTGTGCAGAGATTATGATACCAGTTTGATAACGTGGGTCGGAGACTCGGTGCATGGTCGCGAGCTGCTACGTCCGTGTTTGGCCCGGCCAGCAGTGTTCATCCCCCTGTGGGCTTGGTTGGACGAGAGTTCGAGGAGACCTCGGGAGAGAAAGAGGGTGAGCTATCTCGGGTGGAACGAGAAGGAAAGATAGAGAGGAAGAGGATAGAAGTCGAAGACGAGAGAGCAAGTCGCACACCTGGAAAGAGAGAGTATAGAGATTATAGAGAGGCTCCACCTGCACGAGAGAGAGTGCGACAAGGAGGGTGGGAGTGGACGAGCAAGGGATTCGCAGGTTGAAGAAGAGAAGAAGAGAACAACGGGCTGGAACGTGAACGTAGAAGTTGAAAAGGAGGAGGAGGAGGTGGTGGTGGCGGTGGAGAGAGGACAAGCAGGGAAGTTTCCGTCTGTCCGAAGTGGATGGGGGTGAAAATGTTCGGAGTGTTGCTGGCATGTGTCTGGCTGGTTGCCGGCTCCCCGTTACATCCCTGGCCGCTAATACCGCACAAAGGTAAGTGCTCGATCTACTGGTAATTTCTTATTGCTTCCTTTTTTCCTGCGGCTACGTACTTGACAATTATGCGGTTGCTTTACTACGATCTTTTTTCCTGGTAAAATCGAACGAGATCATTAGGGATAGAGTTTGTACGATATTTTTAACGCAACGTATCTTTGTTACGTCTTGGCTCTCGTATGAAACGTTGGTCAGAGTGACACGGTTCAGGAGGGATGTTGAAAGTTTGTCGGAACTTTTTTTTTTAGAAGGATCTGGCAAAGGACTTTCTACCATCAAAATTACAGGAGCTCCAACGAGAGGGTTGCTGCAGTTCTATTCCCCTCTGCCCCTTTGGTACTGTAACGCCGTCGGCAGACTGTAGTTTTACGACTGATGCGAACACCGTAATTTAAAATACTCCGCGATAAAAGAGACGAACGATAACGGCTTAACAACGAGGGGAAAAAGTTATTCCATTTCGCAACGTTGGTAATCCGATGTGGAAAAGTTGCTCGACGTTTTTCTGAAATTCTTCACGCTGCTTCGTTCTCCCTGTGCCTTGACTCGTGGTTGTTGACGATGACAGAGAACGTTGCTCAGGGCTTATTGTTAGCCCAGTGTTAGACATTTGCTGGCTTTCTTCAAGTATCTTCGTTTAGTAGGAAAATTAACCTATACCATCTGTTCCAGCAAATACGAAAGTTTACTTTCGTACTTAATTAGTAGTTAGCTCGTTCAACGTTTTAAGGTTGGCGAAGCCTGTTGCAGGATGTGTGGTGAATAAATTTGAAGTTGTGCGTATTGAATTTATTGACACTGTATATATATATGTTACTGAGATTCGACCTATGATGAATGATTTTCTTGGAATCTTCGATGCGGGGGTGAAGTAGCTCTTTTATAGATTTTCCGACTAGTTTTGTCGATTGTTAGACACGCTGATTGGTCGATCCAAGAAGAGAAAGATCACCCATCAGCGTGCCTAAATGGTTGCGACCTTGCATTGGGCGCGTTTCTTTGAAACGGAGATTACCATGGGTCTTTCCGGGTGAGCCACTTTCGGGGACAGATTTTGTTAATGCAAAATTCTCGGCCCCGAAAGCAGTACTATCTTATGATTTAAAAAATCCTACTGTTCGCGCGAACAATGATATTCGCGCGGCGCATGCTAGTCCAAGGGAGGTCTGGTCGGTCGAAGTGAGATTTAGTACCTCGGTCTGGCGGCCAAATGTGAGTAATGAATTTTATAGCTATAATCCGCCACACCCAGGCTAGCTTAAGTTTCTTTTTGTGTATGATTCAGCACTATCGTTTATTAGTATTCGAAAACTTTGGTGCGTCACAGCGTTGACGGTTGATGTTGGCAACGAATAAATGACGCTTACTTCTCGAGTCCTTTAAACACTCGTTGAAGTAGTTTTGTATTTAGTGGACTGTATATTTGATTGAAAAATGAAACACCACACTTTATGTTTTAAACTTTGTAAATTACAAATATGTGTTGTGTGGCTGTCTTGTATGTTTGCTCGTCGTCTCTAGTTGTATCTGCCCTAAGGGTGCTGTTTTATAACCTTGGTCTCTGTTTCTGATTCGTTTTTAAGTTGTGTGGGAGGTGGTTCAAGTGTGTCGATTGGTCTCTTGTGTTTTCGGGGATGATGGTGTTGTCGAAGGAGTAGGGAAATTGTTGCAAACTATTTGTTATATTGGGGTACGGTAACGGTCTTCTGGTCGCCAGGTAGTTTTAGCGCGAGTGGTGTCTTCGATTTTTAGACACGTCCTAAACTCATTGTCCTACGGTCTTTTCAAAACTGTTTGGCCGTTTATGACCGAACAAACTTGATCTTGATATAAAATTTTCGTTCAGTTTGTAATACCTTTATCGTCATTGGTTGTTAATAAATAATATGTATGTATATTGTTTAATGAGAATTTTGTATATAGAGCTTTCGTAAAATAAAACAATAAAATCAATGAAGAGTGTTCCGCGGACCACCCGCGGAATATTATTAGAAAACCCGCCGGTTTTATTTTTCACCTGGTTTAAGCATTTGTTCCATAGCGGCTAGCAATCTGGATAAAGGAAGAAATCATGCGGCGTGCAGATGGCTGGTACGTTTCGTGACATACAAGTTAGAAAGCTGTTTTTGAGAATGTCCCTTTATTCGTTAATCCCTTAAGGAATAGTTTCTTTTCCTAAACGTCAACAGCTAATTGTACTTGTCATAAAACGTGAGTTTCTAAAAGGCTTCGGGACGGAGGTCCGGGCACGCCGCGAGTTCCAGGCCTGGTGGAAATTCCCGTTGTGGTTTCAAATGTTTAAACATTGCTGACCTTCACCCCCTCTTGTCATCGCCTAGTCCGCACGGAGCGTGTCACGGACACACGGATAGGTCGATGACAATTAGGGAAAAATACGAGTGGTTCGTACCGAGAGCCAATCGGTGAAGAAACACCATCTTCAGAACTTTCCCCTTTCTGGGAAATTCGAATGTCTCTTTATTCGTTAATCCCTTAAGGAATAATTTCTTTTCCTAAACGTCGTTCATGACCTCAACAGCTAATTGTACGTGTCATAAAACGTGAGTTTCTAAAGGGCTTTCGGCACGCCGCGAGTCCGAGGCCTGGTGGAAATTCCTGTTGTGGTTTCGAATGTTTAAACATTGCTGACCTTCACTCCCTCTTGTCGTCGCCTAGTCCGCACGGAGCGTGTTGGGGACACACGGATAGGTCGATGGCAATTAGGGAAAAATACGATTGGCTCGTACCGAGAGTCAATCGGTGAAAAAACACCATCTTCAGAACTTTCCCCTTTCTGGGAAACTCTGAAGACAACTCACCAAGAGTATTGATACTCACCAAGGAGTATCAAGAACACACACATACCACCAGTCTTTAATTATTGTAATTCAAGTGTAAATACACATAGTTAGTTAAGTGTTAACTCAGTCCAACAAAATTATCCTGGCCTTTCAAACAATTCGCTAGGAAATCGCCACTCATCGCGGCGCGGTATTAACCAAGCAAAGATTTACGACCTTCGCTAAACCACGGACCATATCGCGAGTCTCGTCGTGGACATGTGCGCGAGAAAACAAAGAGAATCGTTATATGAATGCATACATAGCAGTGCACGTGCTACCCGTTTAAGTAGAATAAGACCGTTATTGGTCTGACATAACTACCCACTTGAAATCGACGCTATTTCCCAGCATTTTCACAGAAACCTCTAAACTCCTTCCACTTGTATTCATCCAAAAGGCCCAATATAATTCATCCCAACCATAAGAATGATATCAATTACTCCCAGTTACGAAATAAAATCGTGGAAAGCTATTCTTTGAATTCACCACCTTTGAAGGTAACGTCATCGAAGCGGTGGAAACGATTAATACGCCTCATATTAATGATCCATAGGAGCCGGTGGAAGCGTCTCGCGTTGAAAACCACCCCGCGGCGTATGACACAAAGAAAAGTGGCCCGGTTTCCCGGGGCTCTCTCTTTGTATCGATATCCCCCCCCATTGTGTCTGGCCGCTTTCTTCGAGCTCCGTGGATGGAAATGAAGACACGAACGGGCGGTAAATCGAGCGACGCGCGCACCACCGGAAAGGCACGCTCGATTTCGCAAACGCGAGCCTCTCCTGGCTATTACGCGGCTTTGCTCGCATAATAGCGCCTCCATTTCGAGTATTAGTCCATCAGGATTCAACGTCGCGTGAGGCCAACCGACTCGTGTCGACACTACCCTCGTTTTTTTTTTTTAGTGAAAAAGAAATCAACTATGTTCTCCTCTCGTTCTAGCCTTGAGACTGTTAGTTCTCTCCATGCACGTAAAATTATTTCCAACACTTTCGAGGATTAATTGACAGTGTCCTCTCGATAGACTCGATTCGCCGCTCTCGAAGAGTAGACCGATTGGAAGCTTTCTCATCGAAGTTATCGAGAGAGTGAGTTAGCTATCGTTTCTACTTTTTCCTTTTTTGTCGGAGGCTCTCTGGGGCGTCTGGGTACGATATCGATTAACAAGTTCGCACGCCACACTTCGTTACTTTTTTAAGGAAGGTAATAACAAGGTGGAATTGAAAGAATTTCAGAATTTTACAGATTCAATCGCTAATTTGTTGCGAAGCTGTTAATCGAGTTTACTGGATTTCTGTTCGGAAGGTGTTTGCGTGGAAATTCCGACGATCGACGGATTTCACAGGAGGATGTTGAGAGATCTTAAACTAACACGTTTCTTTCATGGAAATTTTTGACAAATATTTTGAATAGGTTTGAAAATTTCAAATGTCATATTACGTGATAAATATTGTTCCGACCTCAGGATCGCAACGAAGTCTCGATTTGGCGGATTATCCTGGGGTTCCGAACGACCATCGGACCGCCACGGACCCCCTTTGGACTACAGTCGGCGCCGCGATGAAACAATGGCATCAGCCATAAAACATACCATTACTGGGGATCGAATTTATTGTAAACAAATTCGGTCGGCCAATCAGATCACGTCACACTTTTCCACCTCCACACCACAACCACCAATCTGAAAACATATACAGCTTATATATGTATACACCAACACATCAGCGGAACATCAACAGTAACATAAAACATAAGCATTGCGAGACTACTACACTCGTCATTCTCTGTAAAAAAAACTCAATATCAATTATACATTAGTCAATAGAGTAACTCAATGTCCAGTGTCTTTTCTTCACCATCTCACATCAACTATTAGAATATCGCCCTTACGGCATTAATTTGTTGTGAGCGCACCGACACTTAGCTCTCATTCGAAATACGTTGTTCATCAATTCTCTCGAATTAAAGGCTCGAATCGGTGAGGCAAAAGGTCTTACGGCGATAAATATTTAACGAGAACAGGGGCGTGTGGTGAGGCTGAAAAGAAAAATTTAATATCGACGCTCTCGTGACGGCACAGCGCGCGGTTGCATTACGTGAAAAATGTTGGCGCAATTGGAGCAGCAAACGGAACAATTTCATTACGCCTAGCGAGCA